GTCACTAGTATGAATGAGTTCATTACCCTTAGCATTATATCTACATAGATACGGCCTTATATCACTAATAACTTAGAGGCTTGATACCTCTCCCCCGTTCACCAGGAAGTTTGTATTATTACGATAGCATGTCTAAGTGCTAGTCTATATATCTATACAGACATAAGCACAATATTTTGATATAGATATAGAGGTATTGTTTACCTCCTTTATTTTTATTTGGCTAATTGTAGCCATATATCTATATATATTCTTTTCACTTATTTGTATGTGTGCTTTAATTTATATTTTCCACATATAGTATTATTTGAGTTTTTAGTTCAGGTTAACTCCTCTATCTCCTTCTGTTCTTTGGTTTATTCTCACTGGGGTTATCCCCTAAAAAGGAGGGGCTGTAACGTTCTGGCTCCAGTCTTCTTCTATTTTCTCTTCTTAGTCTTTCATATTTATGAGATTTTTTTCTGGAACTTAAAAGGGTTGAGATCACCAGACCTGACAAACCTTGGTCCGTTAGGTATTCAATAGCCAATAGGTTAGGAATGTATAAAACCTTCAAGACAAAAAAGTACAGAACAAGAATAGTGCAATATGTCAAGTGAAATAAGAGTATATAAAAGCTTATAAAAGACTCACTCACACTTTGCAGAGCTACTCAGAGCTCTGCCGTATAGCGCCTAGACGGTATAATCCCCATCTCAGGATATCAAGTGATGGTATAATGCGGTATCCAATCCTCCACAGTGGTATATGGAAAGATAAAAATAGAAATAAAATCCAATAGTGTAGTATATCTATTAAAAAGTGTGCAAATAAAGGAAAAGTATCCTACTTACAAATTTCAGAGCAAATATCTTGCTCTGGTATAGACAGCATGTGGTGGTATGATCCCCACCAAAGGATATAAGTCAGAATTCAAGATGTATCAGGAACAACAAATAAAGTAGTAAAAACTATAACTTTATTGTTACAAAATAAAAAGTATGTAATAAAAGAAGTATCAGATCTCTTACTTAACGCGTTTCGCCCGGTCTGGGGCTTCTTCAGAAGTAATAAGTCCAAAATTCAATGGAGTCCTCTTTATATAAGTGTTCCTGATTAATGTGATTTAGTCCTGATGCAATTTCACTTCCTACTTCCGGGTCGCGTGTGTCACCCGGAAGTGATGTCAGCGAGTCTTTTCGTAGCTTGCTGGGATATGTAGTATCCCTCCATTCATGTTGTGTGCGGCTCCCGGAAGTGACATCAGCGTATCTCCCAATGGTTGATGGGACATGTAGTTTACATTGTCCATTTCTCTATAAACACTGTTTCGTCACCCGGAAGTGATGTATCACGATCTGGTATTGTTCATGGGAATTGTAGTTCGGCAAATTGCCGATATGGGATACAATACATATAAGAATAAAATAAGTAAATTATGTAATTAACAAGGTGATAAAATTTAAAGAAAGAATGTAAATATAAAAACATATAATAAAAGCAAATAAGACATATGTTTAATTACAAAAGATAGCCAGCACTTTTATTTTTTTTTTATTTAATTTTTTTTATTTTTTTTTAAAGACATCATAGAGCTATACACACAAAATATATAGGTTTATACCAGGTGTTGCATACCAGAAAATAAGCATGCATAGAAATCTATAAAAATAACCAATATTATAAAAATATGCTATACACAAAGTGAACCATGCACATATATGGAGATCTTAAAGTGATACACAGGGGAGGTGGTGTGTAAGCAATAACAATAGTATATAAATATGCAAAGTATATAAAAACTGGTGTGAAAGATTTTTTTCTTTTAATATTTATTATAAAAAATTAAAAAGATCAAACTCTGCATTAAGACCTTTAGGGTGTAGTGTGTCTAAAAAATAGACCCACTCCATTTCTTTCTTGCCCAATTTATTAATTATATCACCACCTCTCCAGTGTTGGGACATTTTTGAAATGCCCATAAATTTTAAGTGCTGTGGATCATTACCATGTAACTCAAAATGTGAGGATACCAAGTGGGTTTTTAGCCCTTTTTCTATGTTTCTACAATGTTCCCCAATCCTGACCTTCAACGGTCTTATAGTTCTCCCTATATATTGCAGTCCGCATGGACATTCTAATAAATATATCACGTTTTTACTCATGCATGTAATTGTGTTTTTAATACTGTAACTTTTATCTGTATTATTTGATTTAAAACTATGGATATATCGGTCCATTTTTTTAGTTTTTTTGCACGCTACGCAGCAATTGCATCTAAAAAATCCATTCTTGTTTTTCATAAAATTATTTATAACTTCTGACTTTTTCTGTTTTGTATAATTTTGTGTGAGTTGCATTCTCAAATTTGGAGCTCCTCTAAATACAATTTTTGGCTGGTTTGGAATAATTTTTCCTAATACAGGATCTTCTTTCAATAAATGCCAGTTATTCCTAATTACTTTTTTTATTTGTTTATTTTTATTATTATAATCTAAGACAATAGGCAATACAAACTCTTTCCCATTATTCTTAGTATTTTTTGAACCCTTATTTTGGGTTAGAAGATCCTTTCTATCTGTGTTTGTAATATTTTCTATAGTTTTATCTATTTTCTCTTTATCGTAACCTTTTTCAATAAACGTATTCTTCATCATGTTCGCCTGAGTTTTAAAAGTATTAGCATCGGAGCAATTTCTCTTCAATCTAAGGAATTGGCTTTTAGGGATGCTGTCAAGCCAGCTCCTATAATGACAGCTATCTGTTCCAATAAAATTATTAACATGAACCGGTTTAAAATGAGTTTTTGTATTTAATCTCTTATCTTTAATATAAATATCCAAATCTAAAAAGTGACGTGGGTCTGACTAAAATCTGCTTTTAAAACTATACCATCATTGTTTGTATTTAAAAAGTCTAAAAAAAGTTTTGCTGTAGAGATTGGACCTTTCCATATAAAAAGGAGATCATCTATATAGCGGAAATAGGCCACCAGGCTCCCCACCCAGCCATGTCCGCTCCACACCATTCTCTCTTCCCACTCGGTCATGAAGAGGTTGGCATAGCTGGGCGCGAACCTGGTCCCCATCGCTGTACCGTTTTTCTGTAAATAAAACGAGTCTTTAAACCAAAAATAATTATTATGAATGGAGGGATACTACATATCCCAGCAAGCTACGAAAAGACTCGCTGACACCACTTCC